TTCCCTCTCTACCCACCATTGAATGGTGTGAGCACCTTTATCAAAACTCAAGGGACCATGTATGAGTGGGTCTGTGTCTGAACTCTCTCCTGTTCTCTTCGTCTGTTCTTGCTCCTGCACCACAGCACTTAACAACTGCAGCTTTGAGGCAAGATTTTGTGTAGGTCTTCCTCTCTGGTTTTTTTAAAGATTATTTTGGTTACTCTAGCCTTTTCATTTTCAGAGAATCAATTGGCAAATTTCTACCAAAACCTTGCTAGCATTTTGATCAAGCGTGCACTAGATGTAAGTCCTGTTTCTGCTCTCACTTGGATCTCTTTCTGGCCATTTTTTTCTCTCTGCCTTTTAGGATCCGTCTTTCCCATGAAGGCCTCTGGGACTGCTCCAGCTGTGGCTGGGCCATTCCCATCCAGTGTGGCTGTCTCTGGAGGCTCTACTCCCACAACAGAGGGAGCAGCTACCCCACCCCCTGGGCTCAGTGTCCTGACCAGTAAGCTGTTCTTTTGCTGGGCCTATTTAAACGCTGGTGGGGCCCGTTCTCTCTTGCTCCCCTGCAGCCACCCTTGGTTCCTGGAAGGAGGGCAGGGATAGGCATTAGTACCTGCTCTCCACTGGGTTTTGAGTATGTCTGCAAATGTCTCCAGTTTTTAAAGGGGTTTTGGTGCCACCTCAAGCCTCTGGTTAAACGAATAGCCATATGTCTGTCACCTGAATGCTGCCTCAAAAGCTTTCAACTTCCTTCTCATGGCCCGCATGTCTTTCCAGGGCAAGAACCATTTCCCCTGCAGGCCCTGTGCCCTTCTTCCTTCCACCTCCCTCTTTTTCTCCCCTCCCCTAGCAGGGAAGGCATGGGCACCCACCACCCCCAGGAAGTCTGAGGGCAGGAAATAAGGAGAGGGAAGACAAGACAACAAGATCTGGCTGTCCTTAATGACCAGAGTCAGGCTGGGGTGGAGGGGGTGCTGGGGTTCGGAAGAAGGAGAGAGGCCCACCAGGGACCCTCATGGTGCAGAGACATCAAGCTGGAGAGACACGGACACCAGAGCCTGAGATGTGGAGGAAGGTTCAGAAAGACAGAGAGATGTGGATGTCAGGGAGGGGTCTAGACACTGACAGACAGGTCCGTAGGTGTCAAGGAAGAGGTGACGGGGTTAGATGGAAGCCTTAAATCCCCCTCTGATGAGATTCTATTCCCAATATGATAGGGCAGAAATCCACAGAGAATGCGGTCTCAGAGCCACATAGACATCAGAGTCACAGAGGGCAGTGGGAAATCGGGGAGCTGATGTCCCACCTGCCTCTGTCACTGCCCCTCTCTGCTCCTCAGGCCTGAAACCTCAAGAGAGGCGCTGTGTCCCAGCCTGGGTCATCTTGTTGATCACTCTCACTGTGGGAGCAGCGATTGTCAGCCTGCTGTATGGGGCCAAGAAGGTGAGAGAAGCTGTGGTCCCAATGTGTGAGTCCCCAAGGCCAGTGGCGTTGGCACCCAGCATTCCAGAACTCTGAGAAGAGCAGGAGGAAGGATGCCAGCTTGTGACACTGAGAGGAACGTGGCTGAGAGGAAACGTTGACCAGGTAGGGATGGGGACTTGGGGCCTCAGTGAAAGAGAGGCTGGGTGGTATTGGAAGCTAACCAGCCCACAGAGGCATTAAATTCAGCTCTAGGTAGTGAAGAATCAGTGCTATGGAGCTACATTAACCTGGGTTTTGAATCCTGGCTTTGCCATTATAGCTGTGTGACCTTGTGCAAGTTACTTAACCTCTCTGTGCACCAGATTTCTCATTGGTAATAATAACTAATACTGAAATAACACTTATTATGTGCCAGGTGCTGTATATATTTTGGTTCACAGCAACCCTGTGATATGGGTAATAATAGCCCTCATTGAGTACTTGATAAAATTAGAATAACATCCATGCCAAAGGGTTGCTGGCAGCAATGAGCTTATGCATGTAAAGCACTTAGGTGCTTGGTACATAGTAAGTATCCAATAAATTAGCTTTACACAGTATTATTACTGTTTTTGCTTGAAGAGAGGCAGGGGTCCTTGGGGAGAGCTGAGGGCTGGCTGGCAGGCTCCTGGGTCCCTCGGTTAACCCAGCCTATCCATCCTTCATCTCACAAGCCTGCCAGTTCCAGAAGAAGATGAGTGTGGGGTGTGGCTGTGGCTCTGGGAGTCCACCAGTCACAGCTACTGTGCCAAATGTAGGGGTGGGGCCAAGATAGCTGAATACCCTCCCCCTCTGGCCTGACTTCTCCTAATTACTCATTCCCAGACTCGCCTACCTGGTCACGCTAGCTGGACCATTTCCGAGGGTGGATTCCTGGGGCCACTGACCCTCCCATGTCCTCCACGAACAGTGTGTGGAGTCAGTACTGAGTGGGAAGCTGAGATTCCAGCTCCTGTGCTGCTGCCAGCCAGTCACCTGGCATCTAACCTCTCTGATGCCATTTTCTCATCTGCAGGGGGAAGGACCAGGGTTACATGGTCTCCAGAGGTTCCAGCCTTCATGGAGTCTGGGTCTAGGCAGTTGGAACCTTTGCCTCTTACCCTTTCTTCCAGTTTCCACCTTTTCCCCAACTATCAGAAAAGCTCCTTAGCAGAAGACACTTTCCTTAGGCCCCCCAGGGTGCAGGAGGTGCAGATGACCCCCTCACAGCTCCTTCCACATGGAGCACCATCAGGCTGGTTCCTGGCCCTCCCCAGACCCCCAATTCTCCCTCTTCAGGACAGGTGAGGAGCCCTGCTCTGTGATGCCCCCTTAGACCACTCTGGGTGCACACAATTCTTGCTCAATAAAATGCTGTCCTGTGCACTGGTCTCCCACTCATCATGTATTTGTCAAGTCTGGTCTCTGCTGCTTATCAGGTGTGTGACTGTGTGCAAGGTTGCTTCTGTGACCTGTGGCACTTTATTCTCATCTGTAAAATGAGGCTCACATTGCTAACTGCATAGTTTATAGCAAGGTAAGGTGCTCAGGATGTCCTTTGGCACATAGAAATGCTAAAACATTAATAGCTAGTAGGGTTGTTTTATAACTGACCCCTCAGCCTCTAGCTCAGACACAACACCCTGTACTAAACACTAAGAGATCAACTTGACCTCTGCTTACTCCAGCTTCCTCTACCCCAAATACCTGGGGGGGAAGTTGGGGCAAAAAGAGAAGGTGGGAATTTTTTTGCACAAATAAATCAGAGATTCTCAACCTCAGCACTGTTGACATATTGGGCTGGACAGTTCTTTGCTAGGGGTGGGTATGTCCTGTACATTATACGATGCTAGCAGTATCTCTGGCTTCTACCCACTAAATGCTGATGGCATTTCCCGCCATCCCTCAAGTTGTGCAAGAACGTCTCCAGATGTTGCCAAATGTCCTTTGAGGGGCAAAATTGCCCTTCCCTGTTAAAAACCACTCTCCTAGAGGCCTGGGTCCCTGGGATAGGGGACTAGTGGAATGGGGATTTGTCAGTCACTCCTGAGTCCAGCTAGAGTTGCAGGGGAGGGACTGCCTCAGCCTCAGTTTCTCCATCTTGCAAGATGCATTGCCTGGAAGGCAGCCTTCTGAGTTCTGAGTAATCAGTCATTGGCCTGACTCCATGGAGCCTCATTAATCTCCCATTAGTTATGTTAATGAGCATGTTCTCTTTTCACCCATTCCAGCCCTGCCCAGGGCTTAGCAACAAGTCATGCCAAGTGATGAGAGGAATTCATGTGTTCTGTTCTCTAGTCCTCTGGGAGCCCATTGCCCAGAGGCCCTGGCCTCTGCCCTTTAGGTCTTGGCCCTCGCAGTCCCTCTGCCCACTCCACTTCTCCGGAAAGGCATTAGCCAGCCCTCACATTCACTGCAGAGTAGTAAACACTTCTGGATTGCCTACTATCTCCCAGGCACTATCCCAGGTGCTGTGGAGGCAGCAGTGATCAAAGCCGAGACCTCACCTGCAGCTTTCTGTGATGGGAGAACAGCAGAGAACAAATGAAGTGAGCACGGAGGGGTGATGAGTTAGACACCTGGACCCAAGGCTTTCTCTCTCCTTAGAGACCTGGTAGTCTGTCCTCCCCCTATTCAGCCCCAGGCACTGTCACCTGGGAGCCCAGGCTATGAATTTCAAGTCTCTGAACTAATGCTTGCTCAGGCTAGGAATCAAGAGGGAGGGAAGGAGGAGGCTCTGGGAGGTCCTAGATAGGAGATACCTGCATTTCTTCAGAGGGCCGGCCAGGGGCTTGGAGGCAGAGAGATGGTGGCTGTGCTGAGATGGGAGAGGATGGGAGAGGTGGGGTGGAGGCAGAGCCCCTGTACACTGAGCGTGTCTGCCAAAGATCTTGACCTCTGTCCCTCGGGTGGCCCGGACCTATCTGTGTCCCTAGTGAGGTGGTGATATCAGTTACTTGGCTTCCGTATGTGTCTTGTCCCTAGTCTTTGTCAGTTCCCTCACTGTCTCCACATCTCGTGTCATCTCTGGACACCTGGAAGCACCGGTCTGCATCAGCAGCCATGAGAAGGCTTTCTCCTACTTTGCTCTTTCACCTCCTACTCATGGACAGCTCCACCCAGGGCAAAAAGAGTGACCATGTGTGAGTAAGGGGTGTGGAGAGTTTGGCTGCCTCAAGACAGGTGGGAGGGTGAGGGCGAATCTGGAGAAGACCCAGAATTTCAACCTCTTCCCAGAACCAGAACTCCAATTGCCTCCTCCCTGTCCTGCCCCAGCCAGAACTCAGCCCCTCCAGAAGCATCTGCTCCCCACCTCCCCAGAGCCCTGGAGGTTGCTCCTAGCCCACTTCCTCTCGCTGCCCCCAGACCCCACCCCTTCGGCAGGCACCCAGGTGCCTGGCTCCGTGACGCAGGACCTGCGGTCTCCCGTTATCAGGGCACCCCTCTGGGGTGGGGCAGTTCCATTTGCTTAAGGCTCAGGTCTGAGGGGCCCCAGCCCCCATGACGTCAAACCTGGCCCCATATAAGGTGAGGGGACCCCAGCCCACAGCCCCAGGCAGCCATCCAGCTCCAACATGGCCCAGCCAGCCTACTGGGTCCGTTCCATCTGTGGCCTCCAGTGCTGCCTCCTCCTCCTTCTAGCTTCTCGGAAGGCAGGTAAGATGCCCTCACACAGAGGGGGCACCACCACACAAGGGGATAGAAACAGAAAGGAGTTGTTCCTAAGCATTTATAGGGCTGTGACCAATTGCAGAAATGAACAGCAGGTGAATGTGTGGTGGGAAGGGGTATGGGTATGGGGCTACTGCATACAGTTGTCTAGGGTGTTCACTGCTGAAGTTTGCTGGCTAAGGGGTAGGTAGGGGACGAAATCCAGCCTGTGCTCTGTTCCTCAAGACATGGCCTACAAGGCTGCACCACCCAGAGGGGGACTTCATAAAGACACTGTATGGGCTGGCAGTCCTGGGTTGGTGGCGACAGGACCCTGACATTCACAGAGCACCCGCCCCATGCCAGAAACTCACAGGTGCTCACGGCTCTTTATCTCATTTCATCTCCTCAAATCCCCTGAGGTGGTAAAGTGAAACCCAGAGGATAAAGGCTTGTGCAAAGTCACGCAGCTAGAGAGCAGCAAGGGAGTCCGCCTCTCCACACTGCCTGCTGAGCCCTGTTCTACGCTGACTTGGGTCCCAGTCCTGACTCTGACCCATTTATCTGGACTTCCACACATTCATAAGATTGGAAGGGTGCTGCCTGGCCAATACCAATAGTTGGTGTTTACTGAGCATTTACTATATACCAGACATTGTTCTAGGCACTTCATCCACATTTACTTATTTAGTCCTCATGGCAACTTGATAAGGTGTGTCCAGTTTTGTCCCCATTTTACAGGTGGGAAACATCCCACGGCTTTGGTGAGAAAATGAATTTGGAATATTTTGACAAGCAAAACATCACCTATAAGATAAAGTGAAATTGCCAAGTTAGTTCACTTAGCTAAAACCAGTTGTGTGGCTGAAGCAGGGAGTGGAGATGCCCAACACAAGGGGGGCAGCTTGGAATGGGCCTTGGCCATGCAGAGGAGGGTTTCACAAGGTAGACACACAAAAATAGATTGAGAGACTCTGCATGCTGGATAGGGTCATCCATGGTAATGACATTGCTAATGGCAAACCGGGGCCAGAAAAGTCATGAGCCTGGATGCCCTGGGAAGGGCAGGTAGCAGCTTCTTCTAACAGTGCTTGACTGAGGGGGTTATCAGAGGAAGTTCTCCCTTCCTGAGCTTAGGGTCACTGTGGGGCCAGAGGTAATGGGGAACCAGGTGGATGGTGGACAGCAGGGTCAGGGCTGAGGAATCTTCATGCTGCCTTTGTGAGGTCTCGGCAGTGCATTCTCTCTGTGCCCTGACTTGATGCCCATCCCCCGACTTCGAGGGTCAGGAAACAGAGACAACAGAACTGCCTCAGCCTCCTGGATCCTCAGTCTCACCCGCCTTCTCTTCCCCTTCTCGTCAGGCTGATTGTTCCACTCACTGCTCTACCCCATCTTCCATAGAGCTGCTGCCCAGGAAGAGGAAGCTGTAGGGGGCAGAAGGGGATGAGTCATAAATCAATGCCACACAAATTTACTTTTTATTTTATTAAGGTGTCATTGATACACAATCTCATGAAGGTTTCACATGAGCAATGTTGTGGTTTGAACATTCACCCATATTATCCAGTTCCCCGTCAACCCCATCACAGTCACTATCTATCAGCATAGGAAGACACTATATGGTCATTTTTTGTCTTCTCCACACACACACATCCATTCACTTTTGAGGGAAATTGCTCAAGGACATGGGAAAAGAGCAGGGTGAATCAAAATCTGAATTGCAAATAGGACACTCCAGGATCTGTGGGTGTGGTCTGGGGAGTTGGCTGGGTTGGAGCTCAGCTGGAGGGGGTGGAGGGGGAGGAGAGGGGTCGGGAGGCCAGAGCAGCTGGACGCTCAGATCTTGCAGATAAAAGCAAGTGGGTACTAGACACAGAAGCTTGAGATGGGTGGGTTGGATGAGAGCAGGGTGAAACTGGAGTGTGGGTCTGGGCTGGGCACATACCTGGGTCCTGCAGAGAATGAGGCCAGGGTAGGGAGGGAGGAGGGATGGCTAGGGAGGATGAAGGCTATGAGCCCACTGTTCTGGGGTCCCATCATTTATACACAGGACAGTCAACACCCAGACCCAGAAAACTAGATCCTAGGGCCCCAGAATCTGCATCAAGCAGCCCCAGAACCAGAGGTGCAGGATCTAGATTTTTTTTATTGCAATATATTTGATATACAATATTATATTGGTTTCAGGTGTACAACATAGTAATTCAATTATATATTGTGTATCTATACCACATCTTTTTTTATTGAAGTACAGTTGACATATAACAGTTTTGTGTGTACAACATAGTGAGTTGACATTTATATTCCTTACAAAACGCTCATCATGGTAAGTGTAGTTACCATCTGTCATCATATAAAGATATAACAATATTATTGACTAGATTTCCTATGCTGTACTTTCATCCCTATGACCTTCTTATTTTGTAATTGGAAGTTTATAACTCTTAAACCCCTTCACCTATTTCACCTATCTCTCTACCCTTGTCCCCTCTGCCAACCACAGGTTTGTACTCTGTATTTATGAGTCTGTTCCTAGGTTTTGTTATTTGTTTTGCTTTTTAGATTTCACATGTAGATTTCATTATAAGTAAAATTATATAGTACTTGTCCTTCTCTGACTTATTTTACTTAGCATAATACCCTCTAGGTCCATACATATTGTTGCAAATGATAAGATTTCATTCATTTTTTATGGCTAAATAATAGTCCATTGTATATATGTACCATACTTTCTTTATCCATTCAACTATTGATGGACACTTATGTTCCTTCCATATTTTGGCTATCATAAATAATGTTGCAATAAACACAGGAGTGATTTTCAAATCAGTGTTTTTGTTTTCTTTGGGTAAATACCCAAAAGTGTATACCATCCTGGATCATATGGTATTTCCATTTTTAATTTTTTAGGGGCCTCCACACTGCTTTCCACAGTGGCTGCACCAATTTACATTCCTACCAACAGTCTACAAGAGTTCCCTTTTTTCCACAGCCTCACCAACACGTTATTTCTTGTCTTTTTGATAATAGTCATTCTGACTGGTGTGAGGTGATATCTCACTCTGATTTTGATTTGCATTTCCCTGATGATTAGATGTCGAGCATCTTTTCACATGTCTATTGACCATCTGTATATCTTCTTTAGAAAAATGTCTTTTTAGATCTTCTGCCCATTTTTTAAATTGGATTATTTGGTTCTCTTTGGGTTGAGTTGTATGAGTTCTTTACATATTCTGGATATTAACCCTTTATCTGACATATCATTGGCAAATATATTTTCCATACAGTAGGTTGCCTTTTCATTTTGTTGATAGTTTCCTTTGCTGTGCAGAAACTTGCTGGTTTGGTGTAGTCCCACTTGTTTATTTCTGCTTCTGTTTCCCTTGCCTGGGGAGACATATCCAAAAAAATTGCTAAGGCTGAGGTCCAGAAGTGTGCTGTCCATGTTTTCTTCTAGGAGTTTTATAGTTTCAGGTCTTAAATTTAGGTTTTTAATCCATTTTGAGTTTATTTTTGTTTACAGGCAGTGGTCTAGTTTCCATCTCTTACATGTAGCTGTCTGGTTTTCCCAATATCATTCATTGAAGAGGCTGTCTTTTCCCCATTGTATATTCTTGCCTCCTTTGTCATAAATTAATTGACCATATAAGCATGGGTTTATTTCTCCATTCTATTCCTTTGATCTGTCTATTTTTGTGCCAGCACCATACTGTCTTAATTATAATAGCTTTGTAGCATAGTTTGAAGCCTGGATGGGATCCAGATTAAATCATCCCTAAGGGGAGCACAGTTGGAGAGGGGTACCGGGGAGAATGGAAAAAGAACATTTTCCTACAATAAATGTTAGTTTATATGACAAAAATAATATATGCTCATTATATAAACTGGAAAACAGAGTAAATTAAAAAGAAAAAAATCTCTCTTAATACTCCCTATCACCTAGGTAACCATTTGAGTGTATTTTTCTTTAGTCTTTTTACTCTGAGTGTGCTGTAGGACACAGTGTGCACTGTAACAAGCATTTTGCCCACATTATTGCAAATGGAGTAAGCCATTTTTGAGGGGTAGGATACCAAGGAACACTAGAAATGCTATTTTTTGTGAGGCTACTCTGTCAGAGACCCCACCTCAAAACACGAGTCACTTAGCAGGATGTTCACCTTCTGTTCAAACAACTGAATGAAGCAGAGTGAACAGACCTTTGGAATTGTATGAAGTGTTGATGTGGGACTTGTTTTCATTCTTTTATCCAGGCTGAGCATCCACCTCCAGGATCTTGTGCTAAAGTAGATTTTCCTCTCTGCCTATACCCCAGTGACCAAAATAATTCTTTTCAGGCCATTACTGTAGTTAGTTAAATGAGTATCTCACAGTGAAAACTTCCTAGAGGAAAAAAGGTTGCTACAGGAGAAGAGACAGTCTTCTGGCCCTGGTTCAGTCACTGATTTGCCTCACAGATGAGCTGAGAACCAAGGAATCCCTTGAGCTTTGACACCAGATTTTATAATTGATGGGTCCTCAATGGTGTGATGTAGGTCTGGAGTTCTAAGATGTGGTTATCTGTGTTTAGTTAACTGTGCGGCTGTTGTGGTTAAAGGACAACCAGTATCCCAGAACTGGTGGGCTGGAGGCCTTATTTTATTTTATTTTGGTATCATTAATCTACAATTACAAGAAAAACATTATGTTTACTAGGCTCCCCCCTTCACCAAGTCCCCCCAAACATACCCCTTTCACAGTCACTGTCCATCAGCATAGTAGGATGCTGTAAAATCACTACTCGTCTTCTCTGTGTTGTAGAGCCCACCCTGTACCCCCTCCACATTATACATGCTAATTGTAATGCCCCCTTTCTTTTTCCTGCCCTTATCCCTTCCTTCCCACTCATCCTCCACAGTCCCTTTCCCTTTGGTAACTCTTAGTCCATTTGTGGGTTCTTTGATTCTGCTGTTTTGTTCCTTCAGTTTTTCTTTGCTCTTATACTCCACATATGAGTGAAATCATTTGGTACTTGTCTTTCTCTGCCTGCCTTATTTCCCTGAGCATAATACCCTCTAGCTCCATCCATGTTGTTGCAAATGGTAGGATTTGTTTTCTTCTTATGGCTGAATAATATTTCATTGTGTATATGTACCACCTCATCTTTACCCATTCATCTACTGATGGACACAGGTTGCTTCCATTTCTTGGCTATTGTAAATAGTGCTGTGATAAACATAGGGGTGCATATGTCTTTTTCAAACTAGGCTGCTGCATTCTTAGGGTAAATTCCTAGAAGTGGAATTCCTGGGTCAAATGGTATTTCTATTTCAAGCATTTTGAGGAACCTCCATACTGCTTTCCACAATGGTTGAACTAATTTACATTCCCACCAGCAGTGTAGGAGGGTTCCCCTTTCTCCACAACCTCGCAACATTTGTTGTTGTTTGTCTTTTGGATGGTGGCCATCCTTACTGGTGTGAGGTGATATCTCACTGTGGTTTTAATTTGCATTTCTCTGATGACAAGCGATGTGGAGCATCTTTTCATGTGTCTATTGGCCATCTGAATTTCTTCTTTAGAGAACTGTCTATTCAGTAGAGGCCTTATTTTAACATCTTTTCATCTACGAGCCTCAATTACATCCCATAGCAGATGTTAGCCCTTGGTCTTCCAACAGTTGAAGGTCACAATTGTGTTTCTTTTTCACTTAATGTACATAACAAAAGGTCATTGACATGGCTTCTGAAGAGTTTTCATCAGTCTTAAAATATTCTCTCATTTATCCATTCAACAAATATTTATGAAATGCTTCCCATGGGCCAGACATTGTACTAGGCTGAAGACATAGGAACCAATAAACAAAAATCCCTGTCATTGCAGGAAGCAGACTGTGTTTATTGTGCCATACTTAGAAAGTGATGAGTGTTGTGTTGATCAAACACAGAAGGGGGAAGTGGCCCAGGAATGCAGGGGGGCTGCCATTTGGAAGACATGGTCAAGAGGTGAACGGGGTAGGTGGGTCAGGAGAGACCCTGGGGGCTGCAGAAGGCAGGAGCAGGGCCATGGACTCGGGCTTCTCACTACCAGGAAAAGGACAAGCAAAGTATGAGATTGTTCCGAAGACTACAATTCAACACTTGAAAGAGTTCTCTATGCTCCATACTCCCTTTCATCTTCACACTAAGCTGGAATAGCTGATATCGTTGTTATTTACAGTTGTGGACATGGGGCTTCAGAACATTTAAGTGATCTGAACAAGAATGCAAAACTGGTGAGGGATAGCACCTAGACTCCAGTCCTGTCCTCTGATTCTGTAAGGCCAGTGTACTTTGCCATCCTGCTCTACCTGCTCATTTATTCCCTCCATAGATATTTATTCATCCTTTATCATGTTTACAAACATTTGAGGTGTAGTGAGAAACCTGACTTGGCCAATTACTTAGCCCCTTTGAGCTTCCTTTCCTCACCTGTAAAACAGTAAGATCATACACCTGCCTCACAGGGTCAAGGTAAAGATTAAATAAACAAATATAAACATCATCCTTGAGGGGTTGCACAAATGTCACTGTTCTTCCTTCCCCAAGAGGCTAGGCTGACCAATAGGCTGTGTAGTGTGGTCTTAACCAGTAAGAGCCTGGGCCCAGGAGCCTAGAATGTGTGTTCAAATTCTGGTTCAAACTCTTACTTGCTGGGGACCCTTAGGGGAGATTACTTAACCTCTCTGAGCCTTGTTTCCTCATTATAAGAAGGAGAGAATAACAAATCACTCTCAACTTCAAAGGGTTGTTGTGAAAAGTAACTGAGTTAATACATTTCCTCATCTGTAGGACCTGCCTGTCTCACAGTAAATGTTCTAGGAAGGTTGGCCGTTGCTATTGCTGTGGGACTGCATGCAGGTCCCCATTCCTCCATGAAACTCAAATTTCTTGCCTGTAAAATAGTAGCGTTGTGGGTAGCTGGGTGATCAATCACCGTAGAAGAGAATCCACAAAGAAAATGTAAAGCAGCCATCCAAGAGTCTGGCCCAGAGAAGGTGCCTAATGAATGATAGCTCTTACTGGTATTGCTGCCGAAGGAATCAGAGAATGGAAATGGCATAGAGAAGTGATGACCTGACAAGTCAGTTGTCTCTCTCCCAACCTTAAATCCCTCAAGGACTTGGGCTTCTCTACTACCCTCACCCCCTTGGAATCCCCCATACATTTCTTTCAAGGACTCAGTTCCCCAGCCTCCAGCTCTCCTGGTCAGCAGGGAAGTGGGCAGGCTGTGGTTTCCTGTGATTGGGAATGGGTCCAGGTCCTGGTTGCCACCTTGAGCTAACAGAGACTGGAAATCTCAATTACGTAACAACACTATCTATCTCACTCTTTGGTGATCTTCTAGCTCTCACCCTTCTGCCTACATATCAGGGACACCTCCTCTGTCTCCACTGGCTATTAAAGCCCATATCTGTTCATTGATAGGGGTGTTTTCGCTCACACCCTGTCTTTAAACACAGTCAGTCTCCTAGAATCCAGCTGCCTTGTTCACTGTACTTGGGACCCCCAAGCAGATAACTTTTTCTTTCAAGAGGACCACCTTCATCTATCCCAGGTAGCTTTCCCAGGTGTGTGAAGAGAGGGATCCAGTGGGGAATAATAAAGGTTGAGTCATCTCATCTACATCCCTGTATCCAAGCCAAACTTCATCACCAAAAGGAAAGTTTCCCATCTCCTTCCTCTACCCAGCCTCCATTCCTCTTCTTATCTTTCTCTCACTCATCAACTGTGTCCAGTTACTAATTCCTATGGAAAGTTCTACCAGAGATATTCCCTCAGTCTCTCCAAAGTTATTCTCACACACAGCATTCAGAAGCCACTGACTAGGGAGATATATCTGGGGGAAGGAAGGAACCCCTAGAGATGACAGCAGGGAAGGAAGCAGGCAAGAGCATGAAGGAAGATTCTTATTTATCTCTCTTCCTTCACAGGTGCTACTGCACTTCAAGGACTTCAGAAAACTGGTGAATCACCAACATCTAATCATTTGTTCCCTCCTGCACCAGGCCCTGGTTGCAGTGCTTTCTCTGACTACACTGCTCCTCATTCAGGACACAGCTCTCTAGACCTCCTTAAACTGAAAGAACCCTCTACACCAAAACATCATTGCAATACCACACACTCATCCCAGAGGTTTAACAAAACTATAGATAATTCCAAAAACTCTACAACTCATCATATTGTTTATGATATTCCTCACAGTTCTAACCAAAACTCTGGCCATCAAAGAAAAAACCCAATTATCCAGAATGGACAGTCTGTTGATCCTAAATCCACTAACACACATAAAGGATCATCCGGTACAAAATATCCAACAGCAGCCCCCAAGAGAAAAACGACTTGTAAGACCAAAACAGGCAAACCAATAGTAAGAAGCACAGCTAATATTGGAAGAACTCTGGAAAAGGACAACAGAAAAAACATTACTTTCAATAGTACACACTCCACCTCACACCAGACGGTAACTCCTTCCCACAAGTCAGCCAATACAGAGATCAAAAAGCTCACATCATCATCAGAAAAAATCTCACCAGCCATGAGGATATCACACAATGAGACAAGGAGCCCAAAAAGTTCAGGAGTTGAAGAACATAAAACAGATAGTAATCACATAACTGTACTTGCCTCGGACAAGACTCCGAGAATGATTACAGTATACACAGAAAAGATTGCACCAGCCGTTGAAAAGACAACACAAACACCATCAAACTCAACAAAACAAAGACCAAAGACCACATCAGCAAATTGTAAGACCACAAGAGCCAAAGTAAACACTCTGAATCCTGGAGAAAAGTCCTTATCAGCAGATGAAAAGACGACAAAGTCCACGGTAAAGCCCCCGGAACGTAGAACAGTAAGAAGCACAGCTAATATTGGAAGAACTCAGGAAAAGGACAACAGAAAAAACATTACTTTCAATAGTACACCCTCCACCTCACACCAGACCGTAACTCCTTCCCGCAAGTCGGTCAATACAGAGAATGATACAAGAAGCCCCAAAATGACGACATTTGCTCAAAAGAAGACCGCAAGAGTCTCAACAAAGTCCACACGGGTTGAACAAGAGACCACCTCAGCCTTTGAAAAGATTACGCCATCCCCAGGGAAGCTGATGGAACATAAGGACAAGACCACATGGGCAAATGAGACCACAAGAGCCCCAGCAAAGTCTACAAAGTGTACAAAAATTGGAGAAAAGGGCACATCAGCCACTGAGATCATAAAGCCTGCAGAAAATCCAGGAAAAAATACAGCAGCCACAGAGACTGTGACACCTCTAGTCAAGGTCACAAGAGACAAATCTATCACTACCATCTCTCCTCGTCCAAACAAAACCAATTTGACCCATCAGCTGCTCACTGGTTATATTAAATTCACCTCCATGCTGGAAACCCCTGGCAACAAAAGCCATCCAAACCACAACAAAGGCGACTCACAAGGAGGTCTCCATGCTGCAGAGGTCAGAGAGAATCCATTCCCTGCATGGGCCATAGTTGTTGTGGTCCTATTGGCTGTGATTCTCTTCCTGGTGTTCCTTGGCCTGATCTTCTTGGTAAGGGACAGGGATGAGCCAGAGGAAGGAACTCATGAGATAGGGGACTGAAGAGAAGTTATGGATGAGAACTGGAGGGAATAATGAGTCTAGGGAAAGGGGCATGGCAGCAGGGGATGGTAATAGAGGGGTAATGGTGGTGAAAACAATGGGGAAGACAATAGACGCAGGGGTCAGGAAAAGTGGAATTGAGAAGAAGGGTGTGGTTGTGAAAAAAGGATGTAGAGTAGGGAGACTGAGGTGCTGGAGATAGAGACTGGGGTATGAGAATAAAGGATATTAGGATCAGCAAAATAGGACAGGGTGGGCAGGTGGGGAGGATGAGGGGGATAAAGGGGCACAAAACTTCTCAATCATAATATAAGTTGGTCACAGGGGTAGTAGTACAGCATGGAGAAGACAGTTAATTCTGTAACATCTTTCTATGTTGACAGATAGTAACTGCACTATTGAGGGTGAGGATTTAATAATATGGGTAACTGTTAAACCACCATGTTGTATATTTGAAGCAAATATAAGACATGTATCAATAATACTTCAATAAAAAAAAGAAAAAGTAAACAGGACAAAGGAGGGAATTGAAGATGAAGTCTGTGACTTAGTATTTTGGGTCTGGAGCTGGAATAAGGATCAATGAAATCTTGAGAAAGGACAAAACCAAAGGTAAAAGCATCAGTAGTGCACATGGTGTGTGGGGGGTCATGGGGAAGATGGTGTAGCACAGAGAAGACAAGTAGGGACCCTGTGGCATCTTACTACACTGATGGACAGTGCAATAGGGTATGGAGGGGGACTCAATAATAAGAGTGAATGTAGTAACCACACTTTTTCTTGTGAAACCTTCATAAGAGTGTATATCAATGATACCTCAAAAAACATAGGTAAAGCATCAGGGAGAATAGAATCAAAGGCCTGAAATATGGGTGTTGAGGAAAACAAATGGCCATGGCAAATGAGACTCATTTCTCCTTTCTCTTCCCAATCACAGATTTTCTACCTAATGAAAACACGTCGTGCACTCATCCAGAACACAGATCCAGAGGAGAACTACCCAGAGAATGAAGGGGGCCCCAATTCCTACCCAGTGTACCTGATGGAGCAGCAGAATCTCAGCATGGGCCAGATCCCTTTGCCACGATGATCTTTTAAAAACTGCCCACCACCAGGACTTCCATGTCCTGCCTTTTTCCTGGATGAGGACTTAGATTCACAATTCCTATTCCTGCACTCCAGGAAGGGCAAAGTACTGACAGTTAATAGCATTAACCATTCATCTGCTGTGTTCTCACTGAAACTGGTCAAGGTTTGAGGTGATAAGCAAGAAGGATGTGTTTGGGTGATAGGAAAGAAAGAATAAATAATACAAGCAAGTATTCTCAGTAGAAGATGGGGGATAGGAAAGAAAGAATAAATAACACAAGCAAGTGTTCTTGTAGAACATGATGGTCTGGGAGCGAAAAGGTGTTTGATGGATGCATATGGTGGGAGCCAATACAGGACACTGAGTCTTGGGAGGGACGGCATGACTAAGCGAAGTTCAGGAGCCTTAAAGGAAAATGCCCTAGATCTGACTGCGAATCAGAGTTTTCGGAGGAGAGACTGAGGACAGCGCCCCCAGGTTTCAGAACCAGTCTACATTATTTCCATCTACTACTACTACTTAGAGTTTGTGTGTAAACAGCCATGTCTCTGAGTTCCCAGGGCCCTTGCCCCGCTGAACCTCCACTTTTTAATGAAAAAGAAAAAGGATTTGAGAAGAAGAGAGAATATTTCCTTCTCCTCTCTATTCCCAGGAGAAAGGAAAATTCCAGAAAAGATTATAAGTATCTCTCACCCAGATTGATCTTCCTTCTTTCTTGTGAATCCCTTAGCTTTTCCTATATGTCTACAGTGGTCATCCGGCTGGTTTGGCTTGCTGGGTTGTGGGTAGCACGCATGGAGGGTTTCTGTATGACCTGCAGTCTCATCCATTGATTCCCATACAGACCTTCCCTAATGATGTTTCCCATTGATCATTCAATTTCCTGTCTCTTCTACTAAAAGCCAGTATTGGCTTTTTTAAATGTAAGAGTTACCTATCTTCTCTACTGCCGAATGCTTTCTCCTCAGACCTTCACCCCAGATTCTGACTTCCTTCTTATAGGCATTTCATCTGTGTATATTTTCTGGATTTTTCTCTCCAACTTATTAAAGCACTTTGACCTGTTACTGATTGGGTAGAGGGGGAAAGGGAGAGTCAACAGATGATGGATAGCTTCCTTCTATCTACTGGTCTTTTTATAATAAAGTGTAAAATATTTATAAAGGAAGGTCATTGTAATTATTGGACTCTCAGTTGGAAGAAAGTCCTGACTCATGTTTCTGGCTCTGGCTGTAAGCAGACAAGGAGTGGCTAGAGGACAAGAATTCTTGGCAGGGTCAAGGAAGAGGAGACTGAATTTCCATTGCTCCTAAAATGGCTCACTCCTGGATTTAGATAAGGGCTGCCCAGTTAATGCTGGGCTCACTTGCATGGTGACAAAATGAGAAGAAAATGTATTAATTAATAAGCAGTATTTCTAAGCACATTCTCTTGAAGATTATATAGAAGACATAGTTCCCATCTGAGACACAGATTTATAGGAAGATTAAAATTAAATAATTCATAAGAGTTATCACAAGGCAGTACTACACAGAATAAAACAGACTCTAATGAATTAAACCCAATGTTTATGGGCATCCACTATGTCCCACATTTATGTTAGGACACCAGCCCTGCTCCAAAATCATTCAGTGCCCAAATGTCAGCCCCAGTAGAATCACTACCATTCACGTAGTCCAGGCTCTCACTTCTACAAGAGGATGGCATCAGCATCTTTGCTGACCAGAAACGCACTCTAGTTCCACAGGCCTTCAACGTTAACTCCATCCAGAATCAAATAGGAAAGCAGGCACTATTTACTACTTTCGGCATACCGTTTTCCGGAAGCTAGCACCCTATCATTGACAGTGATCCTAACCTGGCTACTCACGTCACTGACTTATCTGCCAGGGCCCAATCTAAGCCGCAAGGGCCCTCAGGTCTGTCTCTCTGAATGTCCCACCAGAGATCTGCTCTGCTAAGGGCAGGATTGTAGTTTGGGTCTCAGAAAGAAGGTACGCCAGGTGCAGAGGGACGCCAGACTTAGGTCCCTTGAGGCAAAGAGGACACCTGGGTTCTGGAAGACGGCTGGGATGCCTGATTAAAAAGGAGGAGGATGTGGAATATTTAGTGGTCTGGGCAGATGGTGACCCAGCATGTGGCAGCTGACAGGACAGAAGTCCCACTCGCCCTGGGAGGAAAGCAGATAGGTCCAGCCCCAGCGTCTAACCGCTGAACTTCCCCGGCCTGAACCCTAATTAAGAAAACAGAACAAAATTAAGCAAATATACCTCTGCCTCTAGAATGCCAAACACCCAACCGGACAGGGTCCTCCCTGCCAAGGCACCAAGATGGAGCTGCGGGGCAAAGCGTGCGGCGGGCGGAAGTGGGGGCGGTCCACGCACGTCGCCGCCGCAAAACTGGACCGTGGGCCCCGGACACGGAGGGTGGTGTCTCCCTCCGCACTTCTCTCCCTTCCCTCTCCCCTGCTAACGATCCCTTGGAAATCTAGACCCCCTTAACAAGCACCAGGGCGGGTCTCTCATTAGGGAGAATTACTTAATTAGCGGCAAGGCGGGGAATCGGCTCCCGCCCCACCGGGAGCCGGAGCCCAGGACCCCAAGGGCAGGGGCGCGCCACGTGCGAGAGTAGAGGGCGAGCCGGGGTCTCGGTGGGGGACCGGGACCGGAGCAGCGGCGTCCTTCACTTCCCTCGAGGCTCCACTTGGCCAGCGGCTCCTGGGTCCCGCTCTCTTCCAAGAGCCAGGCGGCTCCCTGTCGCCGGCGCGGGCGCCAGCCTCTAGGGCGCGGCGGGGTGGAGCCGCTGCACCAGCCAAGGCGACACGCGGAGGGCGGTGCGCGCCGGCCAGCCGGGCTCCAACGCGGGCCTGCGGTCGGCGCAGCCCCTCCGAGGGCGGGGAGGTCTCGGGCGAGTCCCCGCCTCCCGCCCCGCCCTGCGGGCCCCTGGCCGTTCCCGGAGTACCGCCCCGACACGCCTGGGCGCCGCTGCTACCCGCGCACAGACAGTATAGCAGGACTCCCGTCCGTGCTGGGCTTCCGCTTCCATCACACCCTTCCACGCCCCGCTGGCCCTCCGCGCCCTTTCTTATTAAGCTTGTTACACAGATGAGAAAAGCAAGCCTCGGAGAAGTGGCTTGTTCAAACCCACGTAGCTCCTCTGAAACAGTTTGTTTTCTCCCAATTCCACTTCACTTTGTTCCCCAACGGAGACAGGTTCCATGTACCCTCAGCGGCCCGACTGGGATGCTCTAGGCACCACCTAAGGAGCCAAGTGTCACTAAGGTTTTTGCAAGAGTCCTTGGTTCCTGTCAGAGTCAAGGTTTCCCCTTTTAAACACTTGGACTGCAAAGTTTGTTCTTCTGGTCTCACAGTGTCCCCACCACCCCCTGTCACCTTCTGAGACCCCTGGCCTCAGAGTCGCAAATTCTCCAACCTCCCCCTACAGTAACTGTGTGACACAGGGACAGTGCCGGTTCCCTTGCAGCTGATTGCCGGCACTCACTGTCCACCTGCCTCTGGAGGTGCATGTTGGCACAGTAAGAAAACCCAGTGCTTTGGGACCCCATGACCTTCACTTTTCTCCCCTCTGCCTCCTACAAAGGCGTCTGTTCTAGAAATGAGACATTTCCAAAGAAAAACGGTTTCTGTTGACCTCTCCATTACCATTTTAACAATTTTTAAGTGTATAGTTCAGTGGCGTTAAGTACATTCACGTTGTCATGCAACTGTCATTGGTGATTTCTTCTTCATTCCCCTGGAACCACCACACTCAGGCCCGGTTTAGGATGATCGCTGTCCATGCACCTGGAAGGTGGGGAGGGTACACTGCAAGCTGCCACTGCAAGCTTGGTCTTGCTGGTCATGCCCTTCCAGAAGCTGTTCTAGGGCAGCACATTGTCACCTCCATGGACCCTCATGCACTCAAGCTTAACTTCTGTGACCCGGTGGTATTTCTCTGCAGGTGCACTAATACTTGAGCAACAATTTCCTTATAACCAGCTGGTTAATTCTCAATATGCTTAGAAAGATTTTTTCTTTCTAAATAGTTTACTGCCTGATCAGCCCTTGTACCAGTAGTCTAGAGGCTTTTCCTAAGTATTCGACTGCCTGTCTGAGTGTTCCTCATTTTTAGACACTACGGCTGTCTGTTAATATAATTGTACAGACTTTCTGGATCTATATTTTCTGAGCTTTCCAGTTTGTTCCAATGCCTGCTGTTAGTTTTTAAGTTTCACCTAGGCAAATACAGTCCCCCCAAAAACAAAGTTCTTGAAGAAAATGTTAATACACTCAAAACAAAGCAGGATTGTGTGTACAGAGTTCAACAGCAGCTTTAGACCATGACATGGACCCAGTGTCCTTGGAAATCACAAAGTTACAATGGATGGGGAACATATTGAAAACTCATTTGTCCCTGCATTGGAAATTGAGGCTGCTTCTCTGTGTTGAAGTAACTCAGATTCTCCAGACAATAATGGGCTGTTTCCTTCTTACTATTATAACTTCAAGCAGAAAATTTGTGATAGTCTATGATTTTAGAAAAGTGAGGTTTTCATTGACTAAATCACCAAAAGCGAGTAAGTCACTCAAAGAAGGGAGCTGTTCTGATGCTTCACAGCTGCAGCATGTCTGGAAAGCGTATTTTTCCAGTGAACCTTGCCACTGGCTTTATCCATATTGTTACCCCAGCCTGATGCATGCAGGGTAGGTTGTTACTTTCACAGTCTGATTCTGATTTTCTCACACAGCATAACATAAAGACCACGAGAGGGAGGAAGACAGAAAATGCAAATGGTAGATGAAATGAGGAGTAGAGATAAAGAGAAGAAAGGGGAAGTAGGGGCTCCAGAGAGATGTAAGTGTGTGGGTCCATGTGGTATGAGGAAAGGAGAGTGGAGACAAGGAAAGTGTGAAATAAAATGAAAATTTTATGGTGCGCCACGTGGCCCCACAGGCAAGGAGAACCATGCAAGCTGTAGAGAGGCCCTAAGTCAGCCAGGACAGCTCAGCTGTACTGTGAAGGTGTCATACAGCTATTCTCACCTGTGTCAGCAAGAATGCCACATCCTCTCACCCATGGCCACGAAGAGAAATAGCCTTAAATGTTCAAAGGAGACAAAATTGAACAAGAGCCTGCTTCTTGTATCCTTGACAGAATTCTTTAGGAGAATGAGTAACAATCCTAAACCTTGCCTCCTCTCACACATAGATAGCACCAGAATGTGCTCAATCTGTTCTTCTAAGACTGTAACCAAATGTACCCTTGACACACTGCTATGCTGTGTTGATTCATGTATCCCCTATTGTAAAAAGGCATGTAAACTGCTCTTACACAAAAGGCCGGCAGAACAGTCTGATCAGAACTCTTTCTCTGATTAACTGTTTTCCAGCCATGGTCCTCGGTAGGACTCTGAGTAGACTCCATCTTTCTTAATTATAATGGCTATGTTGATTTCAGTTGTCAAAAGCATACTTTTTTTGTAAAGTTACTGGAACAATGGCTCTAGAAAAAAGATCTATAGGAAGTGATGAATATTTGGCCCCCAATTGGATTTTTACTTCCATTATATATATTATCACATACTGTTTCTTGGTTGGGGGGCGGGGCTTTTATCTCCCCCCTTTTCTGATTTTACCCAAGTGAAAAGAAATTCACTTTTCTAGGTACCTCTTAGCATGGCCCAAATAGACTGGAAGTTTCAAAATACATTAAATACTAAGGGGAGATACCAAAGGAATATACTTAGCAAGGACAGAGGCTACAGAAATGATTGCCTGGTGTAGGGGAGGCTTCTGATGCTCTGCAAAGTGACGTGTGTGGAGGCCCAGATCCCCCTGCAGTTCTCTGCAGTGGGTGTGATAGCCACATGCCAGCAGCAGGCTGCATTTCTGCATTCTGTTCTCCATCCTGGTCTTCATCTTCTATTCTGATATGTTTTCTTGTTCTATTTTAAAATGTTTTGTGTTTATATTTTCCCATTTTGATTGTATGTATTCCTATAAGTGGTCTTCAACATCTGTAGGATGAGCCACAATAAATGAAAAATTCACACCCTAGCTGTAAATGGTAGCTATAATTTACAATCAACTTACTTGAGTTTCTTATTTCAAATTCTCTGATCCCTCCCCATGGAGAACAAAATGTGACTCACCAGCCATGA